AAAATGGTATCTCAATAAGAGTTTTGCATGTGAGGGTGCAAAAGAGACATAAAATGTGGAGAGACCTAATTTAGTGTAATGCTAGCAAAATAAATTGACATAAAGCACAAAATGACAGTTAAATTAATACATCTGTCATGTTAACTAAAAGAAACAAAGTTACGACAAAATTATCGACAAAATCTAAAATGATTAAAAAACTATAAGTATATAGACTTAAAAAATCTCTTAAATTTTAGAAATTAAAAATGATTGAAAAAAATAAATATAATAATTAAAAAAGTTTATTTTAAACTATAGAGACTAAAATATAAAGTAAGTAAAATTATATAAACTAAAATAATATTTAACCAATTAAAAGTAAACATATTAATTATTCTCCTTAAAAGTATAATATATAAAGTGAGTTAATATTTTGCACTAATTTCATTTAAAAATAATTTAATTTTCTAAATTATCCTTTCTTAAAAATGTATATTAATAACAAAAAGGATCATTGGAGATAAACTTAAATAAAACAAAATAAATTTAGTTGATATTTTGCTAATATTTGATACCAATAAACATGAATTTTTTGTGCTTATATTTTGAATCGGAAAGAGTATTAAGTTTAAAATTAGGTTAAATTATATTCTCAGTTTATTTATTTATTTTTAAGATTGAAATAATTTCTAATATTTTTAATAGATTCAATTTGATCTTTTAATTTTTAAAAAATGTTTAATGTCTTTTGTCCAAATTAACATTAATAACAGGTAAAAGGATAATATTAAACCTTTTTAAAAATTAGATAATTAAATTAAATATTTTAAAAATATATTGATCAAATTGAATAATAATTAACAAATAATTTATACCTATGTATAATATAAAAAAGTGTTTTTATTTATCTTAAAATTGTTTTTAGATTAAATTAAAATAATAAGTAAATAAATTACTTTTTAAAATTTCTAATTTTTATTTTATCAATTTTGGATTGGTTGACAAATTCTTACCGATTATAATATGAGCAAAAAAATAATCAAGTTAATGGATCAATCAACATATTGATTCTTGATCAGATTGAGCTAAATGGTTGAATCCAACTTTTAAAACAAGAATTAAAAGTGAGTAAAATTCATGGAAATAAATTTAATTACCTTATCAAAATATAACAAATTAAGTATTTGAAATTTAAAATTAATCACAAAATGAAAGATTTATCTAATAAAAAATATTAAATAGATAAAAAAATTTTAAATTTATCTAAAAAAACATGTTATATAAATTATTATTTATTTTGATCCCCTATTAAAATATTCTATTTTATTCTATTATTTTTTAAATAATTCAATTTGATCATTTAATTTTTTAAAAATGTTCAATGTTGCATTTTCATTCAATTTTCATTAAAATTGTTAATTTCATTTTGGATGAAAGATAAATATTAAACATTTTTAAAATCTTAGATGATCAAATTAAATCATTTAAAAATATTAAAATTAAATTAAATCTTAAAGTATATTAAAAAACTAAAAATATAATGTAACCTTAAAACTAACACACTTTTTAAATTAATAAGCAGTTTATTAGGGCTACGATAACAGAAGTTCAAAAGTTTTAAAACAGATTATATTTTCCTTAAAATCCTTTTAATTTCCTAAACTTATTTTTAATTATACAAACTCATTTCAAAAAAACCAATAATTCTCAAAATTATTTTTATTTCATTAATTTCTTATTTTATTTTATTTATGAAGTTGAGGTGTTATATAAGGCATTATATAGAGTTGAAACAACAATTCAAATTCTTCTCTAAAAAAAACATCAAATTTAATTTTTAAAGTCTAAATATTTTAGGTTGTCAATTTTTTTTAAATTTTTTTATTCTTAATTTTTTTGCCAAATCATGTAAATAAAATAAAATAAATCAAGAACATTCCAACATTCATCTGCAGGACATCTACTAGACATATATTATTGTGTCATTAATTAATCATTATATAATGTCACAACTCAAAAGTTTCCAAATTAAATCATCTTTGTATTAATATAATATTTATTAACTTTTTAATTTATTTTTTAAAAAATTATTCTATCACAACAGTTAAAATAATAAATTTATTGATAAAGTGAATTATTTTAATAAAATTGATATATTTATTGTATTTCTTGATTTATGTGTAAAATTATTAAAATGTAATTTATAACATTAATAAAAAGATACCTTAATTTGATATATAGATTTTTTTAGACGATTTAATCTTTAAATTTTAAATAATAAAAAATAATATTAAATTTAATTATTTTTATAAAAATAAGACTTAAAAATGAAATCTTATTATTTAGAAATTAAATATAATATTAATTAATCTAATAAATATTAATAATTTTTAAATATTTTTATTAAATAAAATATAAAAGTAGTCTCAACTTTACTAATCTATATATATCTATACTAATATATAAAGGGGATACCCTTTTTAATAACCACCTTGGTCTCCACTTTTTTTTACCATTATACCCTTTTATTTTAAAAAATTTTAAAAAATATTTTTTAATCAAATTTAAGAATTTAAAATTAATGGATTAATTATAATATTAATTAGATTAATATACTTTTATTATTTAATTTTTATTTTTATTTTATTTTTAATAGAGGCACAAAGTGCCTTGATCCCACTAGTATATATTATTATTTATACTAATATATTAAGGGAATACCCTTTTCGGTAACTACCTTGGTCTCTACTTTTTTGGACCATTATACCCTTTTATTTTAAAAAATTAGAAAAAATATTTATAATCAAATTTAAAAACTTGAAACTAATGAATTTATACTAATATATAAAAGAGATACCATTTTCAATAACTAGTTTTAATTTTCATTTTTACATGAGTCATTTTATCCTTTGTTTATTTTTTAATAATTATCTTTTTTATGAGTAACTTTTCATTTTTTCCCTTATTTATTTTTTTTTGTTTTAATACATTGCAGACATGGAGTGCCTTTTTCCTGCTAGTTATATTATAAAGGAGATATATTTTGGTAACCACTCCTTTGGTCTCCAATTTTTAGTGGACGATTATACTCCTTGAATATAAAAAAATTTCTTATATTTATTTTTTAAATAACTATCCATAATTTATAATATTTGTCTGTATAACTATTAGAGGTACGAAGTGCCTCAGTCCCTCTAGTTATTATAAAAGAGATAGAATATAATTTTGAATTAAGTTGTCTTAATTTAATGTATTAGTACTTAATGTCCATAGGTGCCAAGGCCACACATAACTAGAGTAGGAGTTAGTTCTCAATCTGGGCGTTTGAAGACAATTGGAAGGGTACTTACTTTTAGTGGTGTTGAAGTTGCTTAGTTCGAGAATATAATACAAGGTATTTGTTTCATAGCTAAAAATCCTTTTGTTGTACTGTTTGATATGTTTGATTCTACTGTAATCCATTCTTTTATTTCTCTTGCTTGTGTCTAAAAATTGAAGTTTCCTATGTCTTGCTTAAACTATGATTTGGTTGTGGAGACTCCCGTTAATGATTTCATAACTACTTCTAGTATTTGTCTTAAATGTACAATTATTATCTCTAAAACGTAGTTTCTGGTTGATCTTATATATTTGTCTCTTAGTCAACTAGATATCATTCTTAGAATGAATTGATTATCTTTCAATCATGTTCTATTAAACTGCTTTGAAAAATTCATATATTTTGGCGATAGTAAGAGTGTAGAGTTTTTAAGTGCTAATAAAATAAAAACTTGTTTAAAATAAAAAATATTAAAATTTTAATGGAAAAGATTGAAATTGTATAATTATAATATTTATAAGACTATAATTGTTCAATTAAAATTAAAAAAAAAATTAAAATCGCACAACTATAATAATTAAAATTTTAAAATTATTTAATTAAAATTATATAATTATAATACTCATATGAATAAAAAACGCATTTAAATCTAATACTTATGTTACAGTAGTATCCAGATAAAGTGAATAAGAAAAGACGGAGTTTAAATTGAATGAGAAATGTTGATTGTGCAAAAAAATTATATAAAATAGAGAATGTAATAAAAATAATTATAATAGACAACAAAATAATTTATCTAAATACTCATAAATAAAACTAACAAAATTAATAAATAAAGTAGGAATATCGTTGAGTGTAAAATTAAATTGTAAGATGATTAGATTTTAAGTTTTGATCTTTGTAATTCTTCTTTTTATTTTTCATTCTCTAATATTTTGTATCTTTTGTTCTTGGTTCATGTAAAATGAACACTTTTTTAGTTTTGGTTTATATATATATATATATATGAGAAGGGTTTATATGATACTAGTGTAACTTTTACTAAGTGTTACATCGCTCAATAACTTTATATTAAATGTGAATTTTGTAGTTCAACCGTTAGATTAAAAGTTCTTTACTTTTAGATGTCGTTTGATATATATGATCTAAGAGATATGAATTTTCAATCTAATGGTTGGATTTTCAAAATTCACATTTAATATAAAGTTATTGAGCGGTGTAACACTTAGTAAAAGTTACACCGGTGTCGTTTGAACCCTCCTCTATATATATATATATATTATCTTTTCAAACTCTAAAGTTTGATATTTATTATAATGTAGATAACTAATATTTGTTTTAATGATTTATAAATTCTTCATAAGTGTCACATATGAACATATTATCATATACAACTTTGGATGTCTCTTGATATGATAATTTAACCTTTTAATAATCACATAAATATTTAATAATAATAAAGATCACATAATGTTAAAAACTAAAAATAACAAAACAAACAATTTTATTTTACAATCACTAAAATCAAAACTTTTTCATGTGAACTAAAAACACATTTAACCTAAATTAAATTGTAACCTAAACTCAAACAAAAAATGTGAAATAGATTTCTAGACCACCAATGTAAACTATGAGTATAGTTTTTTTGTTGTTGGTAGAACTAAGACTATATTTTATATATACAAAAATCTTCAAATAATATTCTAATGGTTTTTCCTTTAATTTCATTTTTATAGAGGTGCTCCCATCACGGTAGTTTTCCATTAATAACTATTAGATCTATTTCTCAAATGTTACATTACAAATCCAATACTTATGAACAGAAAACTACCATTTACCATAATCGAATAACCCTTGAATCAAAGATTGTGATACTCTGCAACTTCATGGGCCACACTCTCCACCTCATTCTCTTCCAAAGACATTCCCATGGTTTCCCTAGTGAAAAAGTAGGTGATCACCATTCCCACAATGCACACCCCTCCAAGTATGATAAGGGAAGCTGTCATCCCAATTCCCTTGGGGTACCCCTCCTCCTCCTTATTATGTGAGGCCCAAAGAAACCCAACAGATCCAATGATTGCCCCAGCCTTGCCCATTGCCCCAGAAATGCCATGACACGTGGACCTAAACCTGGCTGGGAAAAGCTCAGCTGGGACAATGAAAGTCGTGGTGTTGGGCCCAAAGTTGGCAAAGAAGAAAGCAAGCCCATACAAGATCATGAACCCTTCACTATGTTTGTGATCCTCGTCAGTCCAAAATGAGTAATAGGGAATCCCAATGGCGAAAAAGGCCAAAGCCATGAAGAAAAAGCCCATTATTTGGATTTTGACTCTGCCCCATTTATCAATGAAGTAGACGGAGAAAAAGTAGCCAGGGATGGTGGAACACGCTGCGATTACGGTTTGGATCCATGCAACGTGGAAAGCCTCTTTGTAGACATTAATATCCTCGTTTTTGTCTTTGTTAAGGTAGAAGATGTCGTATATTTCACTTTGGAACAAAACTTGGCTGTAGAAAACGATGTCCAATAGAAACCAAGTTGAAGAACAAGCGAAAAGGTCACGACCGTGGCGACCGAGGAATTCCCTCGAAAGGAGAGAGTATGGATGTGCGGTTGGTGGCAGAGGATGTTCTTCAGCAATCAGGCTCAGTTCTACATCCAGCACTTTCTCCATGTCCTTTGCTGCTTGAATCACATTTTGCTCCACTAACGCTGTGTATCTGATGATTGCATAATGCACATCACATTCTTTAGTAAGAAACATAAATTATTAACTCAATATCTTATTATTATTATTAGGATTGGTTTAGGTTGTAAGATTTGGGATTTTAGTGCAAAATAAACTCATCGTGCTTCAATTACTTGTTTTGTAGCCTTGATTCTAGCAGTTTTGTTGAGTTTGTAATGTTGTTGAGCATGCTAAATTTTCATATTTTGTTTTGAGTATGTAATGTTGGCAATTAACATATTTTGGGTATTTTATAATGTTGAGTTGTTGATAAATAGTATTAAAATTTTTATTAATTATTTGATGACATGATAATATATTTTACAAGTTGTCATATGTAATTTTTTTTAATTTTTTATTATTATTTTAATGATAAATTTAATGAATAAATACAAATCAAACTGAATATGATTGGATTGAATTGTTTGGACAAAAGACTAAATAAATGAAAAAATCAAAATATTATTCTAAACCAAATCAATTAATAAAGTTGATTGGATTAAAATATGTCTCAAATCCAATTCAATCTTATTTGTGCCCATCTCCAAGAAAAAGTTAAACTTAGGTATAACAGCATATGTATTATTAGTATTGGTCTCTAATTAAAATTATAATTTCACTTCGTTATATGCATTTATATTTAATGTATTATTTAATCATTCATACCATTGAAGTGAAATCCCAATTTTAATGAAGAGCATGGTACAATACCTAAATTATGTTTTATGTGAGATTATTTTTAAATATTAAATATATTCTTAAAATTATATTATATATATATACACACAAATAAAAAGTATTCAATGTCATACATCCATTTATTTTAATAATGTATCTAATGGTTAAAAATACTCATTCAGTTAAAGGAACCACTCTTAATTGTTTTAAAAATACTTTAATAAAATCACTTATATTTTAACCCCTTTAATTATTTAAAAAATATTACACTGCGACTACTTGGGAAATGTTTGACTTTGAAAAAAAAAATACTCTTACTTTTTCATACATGTAATAATAGAAGAAAACTATTACGATTTGTCCCGTTTAAGGAGGGAAGAAGGGAAGGATTTTTAATGGAGGGGAAATAAAAAAGTTAGAAAATTTTTTAGTTGAAAGGAGAAGAGAGAAGGGAAAGTAATTTTTTTTTATTTAGTCCACAAGGAAAAGAAATAGATTTTAAAAATTAATTTATTTTTGTATTTTTATAATTTTATATTTAATAATATAAACGAAGATATTTTTTGATATTATACTAAAAATATTTTAAAATTCTTACTCTCCCTTCCGGAATTAAAAAATTTGATTAGGAAGGGATTTATTCTTCTCTCTTCGTAAAAATTGAATTAAACAAAAAAAGATTTTAAAAATCTCTCTCTTGTTTCCTCTCCCCCATTCCTATTCAACTAAATACTATATTAATATTTTCTTAAGATAATATTAATTATTATTTTTAATTATATTTTTGCCTTTAGTCAATTCCAAACTTCTACAAATATAATGGTTGACGTTCAAACAATAATTAATGAAATATATTTTAATTTTTAATACCAAACAATGAATCACGCGAGCTCGATCCTTCAACCACTCTAAATCGTAATCAACCTTGCCAATTTTACTTTTGGTAAACGCAACCTCGCATTTTCAATTTTGCTTTTGACATTATTTATGGGTGCACGTACAGTACTTACTACTTAGTCTCTTTTGGTGTAATCAACTTGATTTGATAATGCGAAAATATCAACGAAATGGACCCTACGAGTAAGAATACGAGCCACAGGTTCCTTTCCCTTCCATTTACATCTAATTAATTTTGTATAGAATTTTCTTCTTAACTGTAAAAGAAAATAAACTAGCATAAACATGAACTCGCGTTGCTGTCAAATATTTTTTTATGGTTGATTGATTCGTGACCAAAACAAAGAAGCAATTAATTATATTAAATGGGAAAAATAAGAATAATAATTGAAAATAATTAAGGAAGTAGGTACCTGGCAGTTTCAGGCATCATCATGCGCCAGTAATAAGTCATGGCTGCTGGAACGGAACCTAGCATGAGTATTAACCTCCATGCAACGTCAGCGTCATCCTCTGAAGCTGATGCTCCTCGGAATATAGAACACACAACTATCGTCACGGTGGAACTGGCCAATATGCCGAACCCTTGCATTGAAAACACCGCTGCTATGAACGATCCTCGTGTCTTTTTGTTTGCAAACTCAGACATTATGGTAGAAGACAATGGGTAGTCTCCCCCGATCCCCAGCCCCAACACAAACCTAAACAAAACCATTCTTATACCAGTCACATCCAACCTCATTAATTAACACTTTTATAGTGTTGTTTTAAACTTAATTGCTTTGTTTTGTAACTCATGATCGATGATTTTGTGAATTTCGGAATCTAGTTTTTTTAAATGGTATGTTTTATTATTTATTTTTTTAAAAAGTTTTACACATTTAATTAATTATTTTATTAATTAATTATTGATGTGACATATTAACTATTGACGTGACATATTAATGATTGAAGAGACACATTTTATCATGTTATTATCTAAAGACACATTAACAGTTTATGTTAACAATTAACTTAACACGTTAGTAGTTAATGTGACAAATTAGTAGTTGATGTTAGAGATCGTACATACATTAAAGATAAGGTCATTATAATGTATATAACTAAGCTTTAAGTGTAGGTTCCACCGCTTTAAGTGTAGGTTCAAACCGACTGATGTTGAAAAATCAATTGATGAGTTGTGACTAGGGGTGAAATGTCACTCAAATTAACCCAAAGCTAGTTAGTTGGTTCTTCCCAAAATGTGTTGAGGTGCAGCAGTTGATTAGGGGAAACAATCGTCACCTTAATAATCAATTTTGTAAGATTGAACTATTCTTCTAACCCACTTTCTTAAAATAGTATGAGGATTGAACATCATGAAGTTTGTAGAACTAAACATCTACGATGGTCTGATAATGATCTGATAACAAGTGACCTGATAAACCTAACAATTAGAGGTATCAAAATGGGCCATGACTTGTAGGCCAGCTAGCTAGTTGGCTTGCCAAAAATTGCCAAGTCAGGGAAGGTATTTTGGCTCGCCAACTCGCCTAGCTCACCCACCTATCAGGCCAAATGGCAGGTTTGAGCAGGCTAGTGTTTTTTTTGTTTATATTATTTTCAATATAAAATTAATTAACTCACTTAATATTTATTTTGTGTATAATATGTGATTTGTTATACAACAAATGTGTTGTGTGTTTAATTTATTTTATTATATGTAATTTAAATTTTTATTATTATTTAGGTATACCAATTTAATTAGGTTTTTTTAGATATTGAGAAAAATATGTTAGAAGAGTAATTCAAAATAAATATACAATTTTTTTCTTTTTTCTTTTTTTCTTTTTTTTGGTGGGTTAGCCTGCCAGCTTGCCCTTAGGCGAGGCAGGTCAAGACTTATGACCCATTTTTTCTGGTGGTTAGCCTGACCTAACCCATTTTGGTGGGCCAATAGCGGGTTGGATTGACTCATTTTGTCATCTTACTAACAATAATTAATAATTGCTAGAATACGCTATAATATTAACTTAAAAAAGTAGGTTAGGACCCTAACCTTATAAAATAGACTATTATAAGGTAAAAATTATTCTTCACTATATATATATATATATATATATATATATATATATATATATATTTTGTTTCAGTATGTCTAAAAGTTTCACATCGCTTAGGAGTCGAGATTAA